TTGTCCATTAAGAGTATCCTGGAAAACCTGACACATAAGTGCATCAGAGACATGTTAAATGTGCATGATAGTTCGATAATGATTAATATGTTTGTAGGGGTCAGTTATCTCTTCATACGTGTCGACTTTCAAAAGCTTCAAACCTGTTGGGATGGGGCGTTGGAGGATTGCATCCGCTAAGGGAGAGGATTCATAGATGTTACGGTGCGTGTGCAAGCGATATTTTTTTCTCTAGAGGGAACTCTTCTAGAATAAGGTATTGTAGTTCATTACGAATGACATCATCTGGAATGGCGGCAAGACGTGGCGGTGCGAGGTGAGATGAATTAGTGAAACTTATGGTGTCTAGGAGTTCAACATCACGACTTGGCAGGGGAGGTGTTCCCTCTTGGGGAGGGGGGTCGATACATGTTCCTTCAAGCAATATGTTTCTTGTAGGTCGTAGATTTAATGGTAAATGAATTTCGTTCATTGATGTAGGCAACAACTGTTGATCCCCGCGTATGAGTTTTAGGATCTTTAGTTGTGACTCCCCCATTCTGCGCATTTGTTCTTTTGTAGAAAGACCCAAATGCCTCGTTGGCGTGATAACATCTTCCAGGACAGGAAGATGAAGAAGCATGTCGCCTTTCGCTTCAAGACTGCTCCCTGGAATGATGAGTGTTGAAGCGGGATACTCTGTTATCACAAATATTGTGTCTGGTGGCCATGTTGCAAACCGCGTAAGTACTTCAGTTGTGGGATTGAAACTTTTCCCACAAACAGAGTCAAATTGATGCGTGCTAGAAAATCCATGGTGGTAGAGTAACGCATTATCGCCTTAGCGTTGTACAAGAATTCAACACACACACAAATGAAAGAGAAAAAAAAATAGTGATGACTCCAAAAATTTTTATGTGGAAAACCCGTAAAAGGAAAAAACCACGTGGTCTGATCTAGTTATAAAAATTCATTATAGGTTGATGATTACATAGATCCCTTTTACCATAGAAGGGAAATAATTATTAAATTTTTCAAGTTACAACGTCGACTAACATCGTCTGGCCAGCGGTGACCGACGGAGATCGGCGGTGATCGCGGTGGTTGACAACAGTCGAATGACGACAGACAGTGGTTGACGGAGGTCAGCGGTGATTGACGGTGGTCAACATATGTCTGTGGTGGTCGATGGAGGTGGGCAATGATCGACGACGGTCGGTGATGGTCAACGACGATCGACGATGACAGAGATGATGTTGGACTCGAGCTCCTTCTCAAAACTTCAAGTTCTCTCTCAAACCTCCTCCCTAAAGTGATGGGTGGGGTTCTATTTATAATGTTATTGGTGCAGTTAATGCAGAAATATAAACCATTTTGATCAGATGGTCCGAAGAGCTTCTCTCGATCGGATGACGTTTGATTGACATTTGTGTGCCTTAACAATGTCAGAATTGAGCAATCTTGGGCTTGTTGGATTCGTCTTGTCGAAACGGTCGACTCGGCTATAAACTCGTTGAATTCAACATTTGTTTGACCTTTCAAATCTGTCCAAAAATCTTCCAAGAATTGTTTAATAACTTGATATGGGATTGATTTGCTCGGATTTGACTAACTTTGATATCATTAACTCCGTCTCATCGAGTAGGTCAGTTTGATTATAAATTTGCTGAAATCAGAGCTCTGAATGACTTTTTATCAAGATTTAAATATTTCTTGCCCAAAATACTTTCTCGAGATTCGAGTTGGATGATGAAAATTTGTTAGTGGCTTATCAATTATTATAATTATAGAACACCTTCCATTTATTTAGATATATAAAAAATGGGGGCACTTACATGCACATAATTCTTATATATTTTTATGTTGAACACCCAAGCTTTTATATTTACATGTATAACACTCAAATCTTTGACTTCACATGTAAATACTATTATCACAAGCCAGAAGATTCACAGTGACAGTAATAATTTAACTTCTTAGTGTTAAACAAAAATCTGTCACAAATGCATATAAAAGAAAAGTAATATGAGGAGTTACCATAATTTTTACATGAAAAAATCTAGCAAGAGAAAAAATGCGGCCTAGCTTAAGCAAAATAATCCGTTATGTGATTGTAAGTATAATCATATTGACTCTTCTTTTGAATCCAAAAAGATGAATTTATAAAATGTTCTAAATATAAATATCACATGTTAGGTGTTATGTAAATGAATAAGAATTATGTTATTATGCACACAAATTTTTGAAAAATTATATCATTTAATTAGTTTCTTAGAACTAGAATTTTTTGCCCCGTTCTTTGGGGGAAAATATTATATCAGGACTTTTAACGTAGAGAGTTTAGAGTTCATTGATATGCAAACATGTGACTTCAAGGAAACACACACACTTTCCTGTTATCCGGCCCGATAACACAAGAGAATATTCCTCATGTGTTATTCTATGTTATTCAGGTGTTATTGTGATGATATTGATGTGTTATTGTGTTCTGCAAATATTCCAGTGTTATAATAACACAATAACACGTTAATACCACTACAATAACACTTGAATAATGCGGAATAACACAGGAGTAATATTCTCCTGTGTTATCGGGCTGAATCACAAGAAAGCACGCGCGTTTCCTTGAAGCCACTTGTCAGCATATCAGTAAACTCCGAATGTAACTCGACATTAGGAGTCCTGATGTAATATTTTTCCCGTGTTCCAATTACTCATTAAAACGTGTCAAAATTTAATATGAATTATATATATATCTATATATGAGGACACGTCGGGACTAGTTGTAGGTAAACGTCGACATCATCGCGTAGCATTATTTCCACAGAGGAGAGGAGTCTACTGTACCAAAAATTTCCTCATTCCCCGAAGAAAACGAAGCCCGCATTGCAGACATTAATTATCAGATGCGGAATGAAAATATGCTTTTGCATTCTAGTAATTAAATGAATATTATTTTCCTACATTTAATAAACAAATGTGAATCTCTTACAGCTTTGACAATGGAGGTGTGTACTCTGCCATATGAAATTTACGCATCATTATTTTTCAATATAAATTGAGCTGTGGTATGCCCACCATTTGCTTTTCGGCACATCTGCATTTTCTCATAGGCTTTCGAAATAAGATCATGCTAGTGAATCAGACGCTTGCGCGTGAAACATTAACAATTCTCGTGCGGCTTTGCTTTTCGGTAAACCGGTCCTCCTTATATGGCCCATAAAGAAAATTTTAGCTGCTCATTGGCATATTCCCACTTGTATACTCAAGTGGGGAACTTGTTCAAAGAAAGTAGTGCAAAATAAAAACTCTATTATGAAAAAAGGGTTGCAATTAGGGGTGTTGGTAACAAGCAGATTGCTGAGCTGACTCGAGCTCGACTCATGAACTGAGTGTTATGAGAAAATAATACAGATGCGTAGAAATTCACACAATAAAATTGAAGCACAAAGACTTGAGTGGTTCGGTGTTAAATAGATTCGCCTACGTTTATGAGGACGGAGGTTCTATTAGTACCGGATGAGCAGAAATAAAAAAAGGTTTGGGGGTTACAACAAAACACTTCTCATCATACCTCTCCCATATGACCCTTATATCATTTATATAGAAGAGGATTAGGTCATACAAGGAAAACCCCAAAAAAGAAACAAATCATCATAATATACTCATTATATAAAAGCCATAAATACAATGCTGAGCTCGATGAGCTAACAAGTTAAGCTCAAGTTTACACCTACTCCACTAGTTAGCTCATAAGCCAACCCATTCGAATATATATATATAAAGTGTATTCAAAATATATTATATTTGAGGTTTTTATCATTAAAAAAGTTTGTAAAATAATATTTTATATTTATATTAAATGGTTTCTTATTATTTCTCTTATAATTGTTCAATGTATTTATCATTTTATTATAATATTATCTTAAAATAATATTATTTTTTTCTGTCATATCAACCAAGCGTGAGCCGGTTCGAACTCGCAGACCCAAGTTCAAGTTCAGCTCAAAACTCAACAAAATTAATCAAGCTTAAATTCAAAGTCAAAGATCGCTCGAGTTCAACTCAACTCGTTTATACCCCTAATTGCAACGAGAAAATTTTACATCATGACTCTGGATGTTCGGGCAACGGCTTGGATGCAACTAGAAGAGCAGAGGTTCGATTCATCCCCTCCTTTACTTCATCCAGGCCGTTGTTCGGACACCTGAGTCTTCAATTGTAAAGAGTGCTATATCTCACTTTTCCATGAAGATCCTTTCGCTCTTCTGAATTTTATTTTATTTTATTTTTTAGATTTAAAATATTTATTTTTAGTCCATATTTATTAAAAGTAAATATTAAAATACGCTGGACCAAGCAACGTAGGAGGTTGGCCGCCTGTTGCTTGTCCGTCAACAAGTTGGCAAGCAGCAGTTGGTAGGCAAATTGTGGCGGGCGATAGTTTAAAAATTATTTTTACTGTTCTTAAAAATTAAGTTATTTTATTTTTAAAAAAATAGAACATGCACATAAATATATTAAAACAAATAATTTCTTAAATTTAAAGCCAAAAAATAAAAAAAATTTAAAATATAATAAATATATTTTATTTTAAAAAGAGCACAATTGAATATTAATTTGAATAATTATTTTATAAGTGAATATATTTGAATTTCTTGGTGTTTCATTAACATATGTTTTTGAATAATACTACTTAAAATCTATACGTGTTTACATATTTAACACATAAGCTTTACATGTTTATATTTGTAATATTTTAATGTCATAAATATATATATTTTTATTTAAAATAAATAAATAATAATGATATTTTTGACGTAATATTTAAAATTTATATTATAAATATAAATATAAAAATTTAGATGGTCAGTACATGGTCCATTTGTAGCTCTAAAGTCAGCGAAAAGAAATAAAAAAGGAATCTCAATTTCCGCTTTTGGAGATTTACATTTTGGCCTAACAAAACCCCTATAAATAGGAGATGGATTACGAAGAGGAGTCCTCACCTTCTACTGAGAACCTCCTCTCTGATTCCGACTTCAAGGGAAAAGAGTGTTGTGCGAGGAAGGTGTTCGACCTTTTGCTCCAAAGAATTTTGTTCTGCTTCGTATCTCGAAAGCAGAAATGAAGGTCAATGTTGTTTCACGTAATGGCGAGGAGATTATGAAGGGGTTGGAGCTCGATTCTTCGGTAAGAATGCTGTTGCTGGTGCTGCTGCTGTTTGTTTTATTTTCCTCTAATTGAGCTCTAATAAATTCAATAAAAATGTATAATTTATTAGATTTTAATGTTTATGTATGAAAAGATTAATCATGTTTTGATACAGAATTAGGGAATGATTATAGTTTTGTTAGGAAGGTTTGAAAGGCAAAGGCTTAGTAATGAGATTAAGCTTTTGTTGCAGTTGCTACCTTCCAAAAGGGAGATTTTTCTACTAATATTATGGCGGAAAGCTCTTTTAATTTGCTGTACCTGAAATAAAACAAATATTAACTGTTTGAAGAAGTCAAACCTTCACCCACCAGCACTGGGAAACTTTTTCTTCCTTTCTTTGCGGTTGTTTGTTTCCTTCTGTGGAAAGTCAATGTTGTAAGACTATCTATGGCGGTTGATTTGAAGACATAGTACGAATTATAAAATTCTAGAAGATCTAGGCAGTGTTTTGTAGAGCTTAAATCCAGCCAAACATAAAAAACTGAATTTTAGATCCAACGAGTTTGTGCGGATTTACTAGATTTATTCTTCCCCTGCAAGCTTTTTCTCCCTCAAAATGAGTTTGATAAATCCATATTTACTAAATTCTATTTAAGGTGAATCAGTGATGCAGCCAAACAGGGCCTTAAAGTTGATAAAACATGTTCTTTGCAAAAAAAAAAAAAAAAAAAACAGGATATTTAAATCTTTAAAGCCTCTATCGAATATTTATTATTAATAAGAGATCTCAATCATATTTTATAGAACATGTTCTCAGCGCGTATGTTATGAGTCTGTAAAACTTCTATTGCAGAGTTTCTTTTTCAAATTTTAGTTTTATTTGGAGATCTTTTAAGAGTATCTGAAGCTAAAATTGGTATCTTTGGTTGCAGGCAATGGTGAGCGATCTGCAACAGGCGATATACTCACGGAGTAAGTGATAAAAATTGTATTTTGGCTATTCAATTAAGCAATGAACAGTGTTTTGTAGTTCTATATACTGATAAAGTCAACTCATATGTGATATTTTTATTCATTAGTAGTGTCAGGGAGTCTGAATCAGAAGAAAAGAAATGAATGAGTTAAAATTGTGTTGACTAAATGTGCATAAATAACATTCCCATCCGACAAAAAGTCATCCTTTGATTAATTTAAGATTAAATGAGTATGATTTGGCACCTTATTAATTATCTCGTTCACTAAGCATGTTTTCCATAATCATGTAAAATCATACATGCCCACACATTTTGTCTATTTACATATCTAATACCCAAACTTTCATATTTACATGCTTAAAACTCAAATATTTAATATTAAATTAAAAATACATCTATTGCTTAACTCTTTAAAAGTGACAACTACACCTTTTTATTCATAGGCTAATGACACCTAACCACCACAAATCTAAATATCAAACTTTAGGTGCTAGTATGTAAATATATAAGAATTGTGCGGTATGCATGTAAATTTTTCATTTGTCAGAATGTAAATCAAAATAGTCAAAATAGTCACCGACTTTTGGAAAATGTCATTTTAGTTTGAGATTTTGTTAAAGTGACAATTTAGTCTCAAACTCTGTCACTATGTCTGAAATAGTCCCATGTGAAAGCTACTGCGGCCTCAATTTAAAGAATCTACGACTTCGCTAACATTTTTGCGGACTCTCTCACTAAAACAAACCCATGTAAATAGTCAAAAAATATACTCAATGTGAATCAATAAGAAGCCAAAGTTCACTCTGCCACATCAATGCTAATTCTTTCACATTTCACATGATGCAGACAAGAAGCTCTATCCTGCTCGGCAGCGCCTCACCCTCCCATTTAAATCGGGAGTAGATGGAAAACCAGTTGTCCTCAACCCAAGAAAGAAACTGGTAGATTATGCGGATGGAAATGAAAAACTTATAACTGTAGTGTTCAAGGATTTGGGACCTCAGGTCTCATACAGGACACTCTTCTTCTTGGAGTACTTGGGCCCTTTACTCATATATCCAATCTTCTATTTCCTTCCAGTCTACAAGGTCCTTGGTTTTCAGGAAACCAAAGAAAAGCTTCCTGTTCAGACCTACGCCCTGTATTACTGGGTCTTCCACTACTTGAAACGCATCCTGGAGACTTTCCTTGTTCATAGATTCAGCCATGCCACTTCACCAATCTATAATGTCTACAGAAACTGTACTTACTACTGGACTTTTGCTGCTTGCATTGCTTATAATGTGAACCACCCACTTTACTCATCTGTCAGCGAGATGCAATGGAAGATTGGCTTTACTTTTGGCTTAATTTGCCAATTCGCAAACTTATACTGCCACCTTATTCTGAAAACTCTGAGAAGTCCTGATGGCGCCGGAGGCTATCAAATGCCCAAGGGATTCTTGTTCAACTTTGTGACTTGCGCGAACTACGCAACTGAGATCTATCAGTGGCTTGGTTTCAATATTGCAACGCAAACTTTCGCTGGTTATCTGTTTGTTGCAGTTGGTACTTATTTCATGTATCACTGGGCTGTCGGAAAGCACCAGAGATTGGTTAAGGTCAGTTTAATTTTTTATTTTTTTAGCAAAAATTAATATGTTACTGATTCTGACTTGTGAAATTATGCTGCAGTTGTTTGATGGAAAAGATGGAAGGCCAAAGTTTACAAGACGATGGGTGCTGCTTCCTCCATTTTACTGAAGTGATCTAAAAGTTCTTAATGTTGGCTACTGTGTTTGCTTTGCCAGTTTCATGTGGGAACAAGTTCTAGCTTTTGGGAACTTGAATATATAGCAGCTTTACTCTTTTTTTTTTTTTTTCTGTTTTTATTTCTTACAATGTATCTTTAAGCTGAAATGTTAATGAAAGTCTGGTGTTTTTATATATTGAATATCTTCTTTGATTGTCAAATTCAGCAAAGAAAGTAAGCAGCTGGTTTCAGTATTAAAATTGCATTACGACTAGAACTTGTCCCTTGAGAAATTGGATGAGGATGCACAATGGTTTGTTTTAGTTATTTATGGCAAATTTGCGGTTTTTGCATTGGTAAATTCGGGTCAGTGGGTCGGGTCCGAGTCTGACCCGAAACTGACCCAACTGAATAGGCCTGACCTGAACCGGACCCAAATATTGTACAGGTCGAATGTTCCAACCCAACCCACCTTCAAACCGCTAAACCGAACTCAACAGATATAACCTAAAAGGAATAGCAATAATTTGGGTTAAAATTGGATCAATTTCACCGCAAATTTCAGGGTCAATTTTGGGTCGATTACAGGTTAGCGGGTTGATCTAAAGTCAATTTAGGATTGACAGGTCATTTCTGGTTAGCAGATCAACTTGAACCCGGCATGAAAAACTAAATGGGTTAGTGTCTTTAACCCAAATCCAATCTGAAAATTTTGGGTCAAAGGGAACTCAAATTTTTCAAGTCAGGTTCAAGTCGAGTTGGCATGTTGATTCAATTTTTGACACTAAACTTTACCTTTTACATTTATACTGACCAAATCTTTCATATAACATAAAAAAGACCACTACTTTAAAGAGCTGTTTGTTAGCCGACACTAAGCTGGCTTTATACAAGATTTATGCTAAATCCTGTCAAATGGCAAACAAGGCATTTATACATCCTATATCTTCTTAAATCTATCTTTTTCTCCATTTTGCCTTAAATTCGGGATTTAGTAAATCCCGTTGGACAGGATTTAGAAAAGCTAAAACATCGGGGAAGAGAGAGATTTAATAAATCCTATTAAATTTGTCAAACAATTTCCCTAGATTTATTAGGATTTACTTATTAACATGCCAGACAATTTTATGGATTTGAGACCTTCAAGATTTCATATATCTGGATTTATAAGATTTACTAAAACCTATTTAAACTAAATCCTACTTGCAACCGAACATCCCCTAAATGTTGAAAACCGAAGTACATCTTTTCATGCAAAGATAAGTTAGTATGCATATAAAATTTGAGGTTTAGGTACCGTGATAAATATGTAAATGCACAACAATTAAGTCGTATGCATGTGAATCTTCCCAAAAAAAAAGTTATAGCCAACTACCCATCATGAACTAAAATAGAATAACACACTGTACATCAGAAATGCGTCAGCACAAATCCCAAGAGAACCCAGTGGCTTAAAAGAAAGGAATTAGAACATAGGGCATATTGATGAAAGATCTGATGCAATCCCTTGAACTGAGGCTGTCGACAGACTAGGTGTAGATCACCCGAACCTAGAACTAATGCTGATCGAGCCAAGCAAAAACATTGACCTACCTATCGTCGCAAACCAACTCAGGAAAAGAGTTCAGTATCACTAGCATTCTGATGGACGCCCATGAGGTTTCTCATCGGGGCTAGGAATTGACAATAACATAGCCTTTCAACATCCTAAAGGACTGTCCTGTCAAGAAATGAGTTATCTATTGGGTTCGGTGATTCACCTTTTGCTCGATTGCCTTGTCATGTTTTGTTGACATGAACTCTTGATCTAGGGATCAAAGGTCGATAGTCAGGCTATCTCAGCCGATTAGTAACATCTGGCTGACCAAAGTAGTCATGTCGACCTAAAGCCAGAAAAGATCAACCTACCGACTACACCAACTCAGCATAACCAGCCGAGTAAGCCGTACCTAACTGAAGCCTACCAAACTCAGCCGACCAAACCAAAAGTTTGCCTAGTCATAGACAATAATGCAAAAGGTGAACTACAAGTGGAAGATGTGTGTCCACTTCACAAATTTGAACGCCACTTCTCCAAAAGATAGCCACCCTCTGCTTAGGATCAATGCAATGGTGAACTTCATTTTTTTATGAGTAATAGATGGAAGGAAAGAAAATGTTTTTTTTTTGTCTAATATAGCGCCTGTGTGTACATGTTGATATGCATGCACCCACGTGCACACACAAACTAAGAAAATTTATTGATATGTCTTCAACAAATTTCCATCATTAGACACAAATTATGAGGCATCACGCAGAATTTCAACGCAATATTTCGAGCAATAAATTTTCAAAAATTGATTAAGAGTTATACAGAGCTCTGATTTCAACAAACTTACAGTCAAACTTAACCCAACACTACCAAAATTGATGTAATTTGAGACAAATCAAACTCAGATCAAGTCATTAAACCACTTTTACAACCTTTTTAGGTATATTTGAAAGGTCAAACAAATGTCAAATTTGGTGAGCGTTTAGTGGAATCAAGTGTTTCGACAAGACAAATCCAACGAGCCCAAAAGTGCTCAATTTCGACGTCGGTAAGTCACTCAAATATTGAATAAACACCGTTTCATCAAGGGGATCTCTCCGGGGCATCCGATCAAAGTGGTTTATATCCTGCATTAATTGCACCCATAGCACTATAAATAGAGTCACACCCTTCTCATGGGGAGGAGGGAGCTTGAAGCTTGGGGAAGAGCTTGAAGATCAAAGAAGGAGCTAAAGTCTAATGTCACTTCGATCACAATTCATCGTTTGATGTTGACCACCAGTCGCCGCCAATCGTTGACGACCTCTCACTGACCGCCGTCGATCACCATCGATTGTTGTCTACTTTTTATGACAAAGCACCGTGCAAAGCGACAACAACGTGGAATCAAGAAACAACATGCAAAACAGTGAATCATCCTGAAAACTGAGATGTCACCCCAAAAACTGTGTAAATTGCATCTCGAAGATGGTGTAATGAGGCACCCCACATACGCTCATGCAGCTCTCGACTTTGAACTCCGAGGCCTACGATCATCATCTTAACTCACCACTACGTCATATGTGATCAGCAATGGCCTACATGGTCCCCAGCTCTGACCCCTGCAGTCTACATACATCACTATAACTCGCCACTCGGTCTATATGACTAACTAAATTCTACGGGTCCATAGCTTGTGCAGCAATCGACTCCTACTCCTAAGGCCTACCGACATCATTACTACTCGCTACTACAACCTACGTGACCAACTAAGACCTACATGGTCCCTAACTTCTACAACTCCCGACTCTGACCTCTGTGGCCTATGGACGAAATCATTACTTGTCACTACAATCTACGTGACCAACTAAGACTTGTGTAGTCCCCAACTCGTGTAGCTCCCGAATCCGACCTCCGCGGCCTACACACATCATTACTACCCACTACTATGACCTACTTGACCAACTAAAACCTATGTGATCCACAACTCATGTAGCTCCCAACTCCGTCCCCCTTGGTCCACAGACGTCACTACTACTTATCACTATGACCTACGTGATCAACTGCAACCTGCGTGGTCCATAACTCTTGTAACTGCATACTATGACTTCTTTGGACTATCAAAGATCTTGGAGCAACCATTTACAACCCACCCAACCAAATAATATCATGATACGAATTCTCTGACAAGCTGGTGCTACAACTACCTTCTACAATACTCACCCAAGACCGCTCAATTTTGATATCGTTAAGGCACTCAAATATCCAATAAACACCTTCTTCATCAAGAGAAACTTTTTGGGTCATCCGATTAGAGTGATTCATATTTCTTCATCAATTGCACCTAGAGCTCTATAAATAGAGCCCCAGCTCTCTCAGGAGAAGAGAGTTTGTGGCTTTAGAAAGAGTTTGAATCTTTGAGAAGGAGCTGAAGTCCAGCATCATTCTTGCTCTCAACTCCAACATCATTCTTGCTGTCGTGGACCACCGTCGACTACAACCGACCACCATCGACTACCACCTACCACCAACCGTCGATTGCTATCGGTCACCGCTCGTTCCTTGCAACAAATTCATACGCACGTTAGAGTTGCAACTTAGGAAACCTAGTAACTCTTTTCTGCCTGTGGGACAAGTGGTAACAAATATAATCATCATTTTATAGTGAAACTCTTTTGCTGGCCAATCCCCTCAGTTTTTCACTTCACGAGTTTTTCATGTAAAAACTCCTGGCGTCTCCCCTGATTGTTTTTCTTTCAACTGAATGTGTGCTGAATTTTGGTGCTACACTAAGACAATAATCTACAACTCTACCGACACGAATCTTCCAGCACACATCATTTATATTGAAGAAAAATATTCTCATAATAATGATGTATTATATAGTAGGGAATTTACATACAGGCCACCTAATTCTCATACATTTAAATATTTCATTTCTAAACTTTAATACCGAAACGGTATTTTAGTAATGCTAATAATATTAGTATTTTAGTTTTTTTCATTAATATTGTTAAAAAAAAAGTTAAAAAATTGTACATTATATAAATAAAAATTAAAATTTATTAAAAATATCTTTTAAAATTTTATTTGGAATATTCAAATTATTAAAAATATTTTGTAAAATTATTTCAAAAAAATAATTTGACCACCGAAAGCTAGTTAGGGGATGACGATTGACACCTTTCAATTATTTTTCTTAATTATTCTATCACTAAATATATTAAGATAAATATTACTTCTAAATTATTTTCCCAAATTAATTAAAATGAAATCAAGATTTTCAACGGAGGGCAAAACTATAAAAACAATTAAAATAATAGAAGTGGAGCTTCCAAGACATTGAATCGAGCTGAAATTCAAACGGCGTTCCGTGATGATTGACGACTTCTTTGATTGCTTCCCTTTTAGATATCACGTGCATGGCTACCACAAATTTTACAGATATAACCCTAACAATTATGTCTTCCCTTTCTAGCTCTGTCTCACCGAGAATATTTGGGTACGTAAGAGTTAAGTAGAGTTGCGTGCATATTAGTTTATTCGCAGAGTACAGGTAGGCTATACTTATGTTATACCAATTGTAATTCTTCTTGTAACCTACTTATACCCTCTGAATAGTCTAATATGTACACAACTCTGCGTACGTCTTACGTGCACAAATATTTCTCCTCTCTCATAAGAAAATATTATATTTATACACTTTACGTGCGAACAACTACGAACGACTAACATTTTAACATACATACTTTTTATATTTATTTCACCCAAGTCTTTCATATCATATAAAATAAACATATAATTTTAACTTTAAAGAGTGAAATACATCTAATTATGCATAATAGATGAGATAGCATATATGAAAAAATTGAACTTTTGGGGGTCAGATATGTCAATATATAAAACTATTTTCTTTTAACACCCTTCATGCTTTAATGTTATCAATTATCTTCGAGAATTGCTATATATAATACACACACGCATAAATCACAATGAAAAAAATATATATATCATGAGGATGTATTATATAGAGAAATTTGCATACATGCCACATAATTCAAAAGCATTTATATATTTAACCCTAAACCATAATACTTAAACAATATTTTAGTGTGATAATAATCATAATAGTTTTTTTTTAATTAGAAAATCAATATTATTAATATTTTTTTATATAATTTTATAAATTAAACACCAGATCTTAGATATTACATTTTCAAAAAATTAAAATAATTTTGGTATATATGTAAATTTGCAATATATATATATATATATATATATCTTACTTACTATAATTTAAATTAAAATTATTTAAACCATAATACTTAAATAATATTTTAGTGTGTATATATATCTCTTACTTACTTTTCTAAGATATGCCGTTTGAAATATTTAAAGAAGAAAGTTACCGTTAAAACCAAATTATTCTTCTTCAACGGCCGCCGCATGCACGAGTAAGATGGATCTAACACATTGTAGAAAAACGTCAACATCTAAATGGAGGTTACAAATAGGAGGAGGAAGTCCTCGTGCTCTGCAAGCAAGCGCTCTAATTCCAGTTTTTTCCATTCTCTTCTCTGTCAAGGAAGAAGTGTGCAGTGAACGGAAGCTGTTCGACGTATTGCTTCTTACAGAAGTTGTGGTTCTGCTCTGAAGCTTAGAGACGTTGAAATGAAGGTCAGCGTCGTTACACGCAATGGGATGGAGCTCATCAATGGCGGCGTGGAGCTCGATTATTCCGTATGATAGTTTCATCTTCTTTCCTTTTCCTCTTTGCAAGCAGAAAAATGTGATCTTTAAGCTTTTTTATTTGTTCTTGAAGCATCTGGATTTAAAAGTGGTATCTTTGATTACAGGCAATGGTGAGCGATTTGCAGCAGGCAATTTACTTGAAGAGTAAGTGATATATTTGTAATCTCTAATTCTCAAGAAAAATTACAAATTTATTGAGATTAATTCTTCTACGTGGCACAGGTAAAAAGTTCTATCCTGCTAGACAGCGTCTCACCCTCCCCTTAAGAGCTGGAGTGGATGGGAAACCAGTTGCCCTCAATCCAAGAAAAAAACTCTCAGATTATGCAGATGGAAATGAAAAACTTATAACTGTAGTGTTCAAGGATTTGGGACCTCAGGTCTCATACAGAACTCTCTTCTTCTGGGAGTACTTCGGGCCATTAGTCATATATCCAATCTTCTACTTCTTGCCAGTGTACAAGTACCTTGGTTATGAGGAAAGGAATGAAAAGCTTCCTGTTCAGACCTACGCCTTCTATTACTGGACCTTACACTACCTGAAGCGCATCATGGAGACTTTCTTTGTTCACAGATTCAGCCATGCTACATCACCAGTCTCTAATGTATACAGAAACTGTTCATACTACTGGACTTTTGCTGCATTCATTGCTTACAATGTGAATCACCCGCTTTACTCTCCTGTCAGCGAGCTGCAATGGAAGATTGGTTTTACTTTTGGTTTGATTTGCCAGTTCTCAAACTTATACTGTCACATTATTCTGAAGCAGCTGAGAGGTTCTGATGGTGTAGGAGGGTATCAGATCCCTCAGGGATTTTTGTTTAATTTTGTGACTTGCGCGAACTATGCAACAGAGATTTATCAGTGGCTTGGATTTAATATTGCGACGCAAACGCTGGCTGGATATTTGTTTCTTGCAGTTGGGACTTACTTCATGTATAATTGGGCTGTGGGAAAGCACCAGAGATTGAATAAGGTGAGTTTTTTTTTTTTTTTTTTTTTTTTTTTTTTCAGATATTACAATAGCTCGATTAAATTGTTCCCAAGTCTAAATGCTGGCTTATTTCTGCATGCAGTTGTTTGATGGGAAAGATGGAAGGCCAAAATATCCTAAAAGATGGGTCTTTCTTCCTCCATTTTATTAAAAAGTTGGAGTTTTTAATGTTGGCTTCTGTTTTTGCTTAGCCAGTTACATCTGCAAATAAACTCTGGCATTTGGGTTGTTGTAGCAGCTTATATGTTGTGTTTTTTCTTTTTAAATTTTGATTCCTGTTGTGTACCATTAAGGTTGGATTTAAATGTTCGATATCTGAATAAAAGTCTGTTATTTCAGAAAAATGTGGCAGAATTTAATTTCGATGAATGCTGAATCAAAACTATACAAGTAAATTAATGAATGCAAGCAACAAATCCATCAATTCTAGACAAAGTTCATGGATCATAATCTGAGCAGATAAATGTTAATCATTCAAATAATCCATAGCAGCTGATAATTGTTAACAAAATACTGATCAAAACCCCTTACAGATACTAATTAAAGTCTGGGAAAAAGGTTATTTTACAGACTATGAACTAACACTCTTCAATAGCTAATAGAAATACAGCTTTTCTTCCAGAACTTACATCAGTTGCCATGATTATCAACTTCACTAAGCAATGCCCAGCCTTCCTCTTGCCGTCTTCTTTCTCTTATTCAAACGTCTGGTTTCATTAAACACAACTAAGCCAAGCTCATGAACAAACTCAATCCGTCGCCTATAAGAACAGAGCCTCGCCGCCACCCTTCTCCTGCACACCCTCGGCTTCTTCGGTACCGCCGGGCAATTGTCTGGGGGTAAAATCCTTCTCTCCGGTAATGTCGGAGTACAATATCCATCAGAAACTTTCATTATCACCTCCTCCTCCTCTTCTTCTTCTTTAACTGAGATATTTAAAGAGGAAGAAGAAGAGCAGGGAGAGGAAACTGTTTGCTGTAAGTACTGTAATGTGGATTGGAGTGTGCGTTGGGGTGCGAGGAGAATGGAATTGATTTGGGAGATGAAGAGAGTGGGAGGAGACATGGCTGAGAGATGATGGAACAGAGGAAGCAAGGAGGTGAAGATGCCAAGGAATATTTTTAAGAATGGCAAGGGTGGTAGTGTATATCAGAGGGATTGGTTTAGTGTCTTGTTCAGCACAAAAGATGTTTTTATAAAAATTAGCTTTTTGTAGGATGAATATAATTAAATGCCATTTACTCATAATGTTTTTCTATGTGAAGGTATTTTGGTTAATGATTTTCGACATAACATATTTTTAGTTGATGAAAAATATAAGTGAAAGAAAACATAAGAATATATATATAGACACATTTACAAGAAAAATGTGTCTGACCATGTGGGATGGTCCAGAGGGTTTACACGTGTCGAAAGATCCAAGCATAACGAATGTATGCAAGATAAGAAGAAACTAATCAAATGAGGATAAGTTGGTTGACTGATCCATAATATACCCAAGAGTCGGTCAACTTGAGAGATGATCAATTTGGATTATCAATCGACTCAGGAGCTAATCAGGCAAAGCTCGATCGACGCTCATAGCCTAGTGGCATACCTGACCGAAGGTAGACTAAATTAGTTCAACCGACTAGAAAAATGTTAAGGACTTGCTTGTAATTTCACATTTATTCTGATTCCCTATAAATCGAGTTAAGAACTCTTAAAGAATATATATTATAGAAGACACAAAATTAATTATTTTGATTTTCTTTATTCATAGAAGCTTTTGTAAACTTTTTTTTTATGAGAAAAAAAGGCTCTTGTTTTTTTTTATTTTTATTTTTTTTATCAAATGAGAGTAGAGTTCAATTTCATTAGTACAAAAAGGCCATTTATATATATACCACACAATTCCTATTTATTTACATGTCTAAGAGCTAAACTTTACTTTTCCTACTTTTATATCACTGACATCTTTCATATCATAAGCTATCAGTTTATAAATCATGGTAATGCTCCATTAACAAAGAAAGTAAATCTTTTTATGCATAGGTAAAGTGACATGTATAAGAAAATTGAAGTTTAAGTATTAGATATGTAAATACATAGGACTTATACCCATATGTATGTTAAAGAAGAGATAGTTTTGAGTGTGTTAAAGAAGAGATAAGAGAAAAATAAGAGTTCATTTTGTTCGCTCATAATTTAACTAATGATGAACCTGAGGGTCGGTTTGGGATAATTTTTAGACTGTTTTGCATTTCAGTTTCATTTTGGGGCTACAATTTCATTTGGGGAATTGCTATTCAATCATTTTCTAGAATTTTTTTATAGTGAGAAACATATTTTCTCAATTTGACTTGTTAAAGTGAGATAGCTGTAAGAAAGTAACAGCTTGATTTTTTAAAAAAGTATGTATTTATAATCTCTTCATAACTTTCTAAAAATTTATTTTCTTCGTCGAAGCTTTAAAATCATCTTTTTTGTAAGCTACAATTACCCTAAGCACACCCTAAAGTTGGCGCAAACATATTGTTGAGAATTTACAAAATATTACTTATGAAATAAAATAAAATAAAAATAAATAAATAAATTATATATCTTTATTTTATCACAAATAATATTCAAAAGCCCCAAAAAAATGGCAAAATTAATAATGGGTGCAGGAACCCAAGTACCATCTCTTTCAATCTGTCAAATGAAAAAGCAGATGCCCTAATAATAGAGAATATTAAGGAGGATTTATACTCGTACCACTTCAATTTATACCATTTACAAATCTAACACCTAAATTTATTTATTTGCATAAATTACCACTCAATTGACATCATTCCTAACTTAAAATGAAATTCTCCGCGTCCTCGCCGGCCCTTCTTTAATGACTAGTAATTAATTTGTTCGTGTACAACTTGATTAAACTCGAATTAACATTGTTCATGCGTGTTCCGTGGTCTATTGGTAGAGCAGTCTCTCTAAAGGTCGCAAGTCTCATCCGGTCACGGGTTTGAATCTCCCCATATGTAAGATGTGATACTCGAATATTTAGCACATCTAGAGCTTCCGAACATTCCTTTATTGAAAAAAAAATGTGAATTTAGAATTTGAACCGTATTATTTTGTTGATCAATCCGACCCTACCTTAGGCCGTCATTTTAATTTTTTATTTTAAAGTTATTCATCTTTGATTTTGCTTTTAAAGTGCACGTCTATTCTTCTAATTTCATACATTCCTGCCAAATCCTATGCATTTATATATTTAACTCCTAAAATAATATTTTTTTCAGTTATATCACCCAAATTATATAAAAATAAAATATATAAAATTTAATATAAATAAACATTATTATTATGATTATTTAATTATTTTAATTCAAAGGAGTTTGAACATCAACGAACAAATAACCTTTTTTGTTCAGCTTGTTTATAAATTGAGCTAAAATAATTGTTCGTGTCTGCTAACTTGCTTGACGAATGAATCTAATATGAGCTACTTAATGAGCTGAACACGATTGAATCTTGCTAAGAGAAAGGGAATCGACGGGATGTTAAACATGTAAATCCCCCCTTTTGTTAATCATCACTACAAGCAGTGTAAATGATTATAGCAAAAGATGATATAATCAGATAAAAAATACGAATAAATTATCTTACATACACTATACCATAAAGGAAAATTTACACACATACTATACAATGCATATGTATTTACATGTCTCAGATCTAAACTTTGATATTTACATTTATAATACATTTGAGTCGTAAGTCTAACAGTGATATTTTGATGTAATGTTAATGCGTACGTCTTGATTGCTAGATATATAAATAGATAAGAATTGTGAGGTATATATGAAAATGAACCGAAAATAAATTATATATTTCCGGGATTAGAAAATTAATGATATTCAGCAAGTGTATGATGGCCATGAATCATGTAAATTGGGACCAAATCATCATTTTGTTTCCAATGATAACTGAAGGGGGGCTTTGTCATATCTTTACAGAACAACATAAGTCTACTCATAAAAAGACATTGCGTGCTCATGCTTCATTATCATTAAGTTTAGTCACTTCTTTTATGGGTCATTGATTATTTTTCACACTTTTGCATGCTTAATTATGGATGTTGACAGTTTATTTTTGTTCATAATTGGAATGGATTCTTTTGTGGATCTGAGCTTCGTGGCATAATAATGAAAGTTATGTAATGGTGAGTTGAAGGTGTTATATTGTATACTATTCAACAAAATGCCTCACATTTTCCAATACTTATGAGTTATAAAAAAAAAGTATTTGTAGCTAAACATTTAAAATCTATAAATTAAGTTAAATTTTAAAATAAGTAAAAGGATTTTTAAAAAAAAATTGATTTATAAGACAATTCTAGAACTATTTTTAATAAATAGTTTGTATTTATTAATTTCTAGGGGCTTTTAAACACATATCACCCAAAATTTTTATGTTTATCTATCTCATGCCTAAGATTTCATAATTACAAATAGGGCTGTAAACAAGCCGAGCTTGAGCGAGCTCAGGCTTGGCTCGTGTTCCGCTCGTTCGAAATCGGCTCGTGTTCGAAATAGGCTCGTGAATAATGTGTTCGTGTTCGGCTCGATTTAAATATTCGTGTTCGTGTTCGGCTCGTGTTCAGCTCGAAATTGACTCATTAAACTAAAATTGAGAAAAATAGATGTGAAGTGTGGAATTCGAACCTGGATCAAATCTATACAAAAGAAGACACTAACCACATTGCCACAGGTGTTATGGTTTAAACTTAGACATAAATATATATAATATATTATTATATAAATAATATATGTAATATATTGTTATATAAAAAGTTATATAATTTTTTTTTTCGAGTCATTTCGAGCCGAACACGAGCGAACAAACTGTTGTTAGTGTTCGGCTCGTTTACATTTCGAGCTTAAAAATTTGTTCGTGTTTGGTTCGTTAGGCTTAACGAACGAGCCGAACACGAGCTGTTCACGAACAACGAGCCAAATTGACAGCTCTAATTACAAAAAAGATATGAAAAATAGCACTCATTATCATATTTTAATAATCAAATCTAAATTTTCATGTGCAGGTGGAGCGTTGTGTGTAAAAACCGAAAGTTTAGGTGTGGGATGTGTAAATTCATATGTAATTTCTCCTGATTTCTATATCAGTGAAGTCTTATTTTAATCCTTCAAATTGAGGATTAAAAATATATTTAACAATCATATGAAAATATGAATATTACACGATTATAATACAGAAATTCTCCAGATAAATTTGGAAATA